ATCCACTGGATAAGCAAATGCACTAAAATTTCTAGTTTAAAATATATTTTATTCATTGAATTGGATTGAACAGCATGCATGATACTAAAATTTCTATCAAATTTTTAAAAATATTATTTAATAATTTTGCTTTGAAGACGGCCTGAAATAAAAATGATCACTATTTCAGCTTTGAATATCGTGTTCTTATCTTGCACGAATGCTTTGAATTGTGAAAGTTCTGTTTTAAAATTGACATGTTAAATATGTTAGCGGCCGATTTGATGCTTTGCATCAATTAACTTGTTGATATCTGTAATTGTGCGTGTAGCATTTAAAAATTGCAAATTGTCAGTAGTTGCCATAGAAACAGGGGAAAAGTTCAAATTCTTTAACTTTGATAAATCAAAGTACCGAAAGGACTGATACGAGTTGATGGTTGTCCAAGCTTACGTAATGGGTATTGTTAGTGATGAAAAAATGAAAGTCTTGTCCAGTTCGGGGCGATATACGCTATTGCTTTCTAGTTTTTCTAATACGTACATGTATTCTACATAGCCGTCGTAGCAAACCGAAAGAGGACCTCCAAGGTAGGCCCAGATTTTCAATGCCAATATAATGCATATCTTTGCAATACATTTGTATGCCTAAGCTCCCCCTCTCTTCCCGGTAACGATGCCCATACTACACCCAAATATATGTACGTATTTGCATAACCAGTATGACGTTGAAAACTTTCAATAAATTTCAGTTGACATAAAATGCATGCAAACTGGAAAAAATTAAAGCAATATGAGATGCATTTTTGAGAGAGAATTTTATTTTTCTGGTAAAATGTGTTATGATTTGAATTAAAGGATGACTGCACTTAACGCCGGTTTTTGGGTCTTTTTCTATCTCTGTTGTCACATTTATTTTTGTTTTTATTTTTGCCTTAAGTCATTTGTTATAGAGTTTGGTCTATTTCCAAATGAAATGCAATGTCATAAAGGTTATAAACTGCGTTGCAATAAAATAATTCGTTGTTTCCTTACCCCACCTCTCTGTAAATATCGGGAAATTAGGTTTATCTGCCCCTTGATTGAAGATAAGATTTATAAATATGTATAAGAGGTGGAGCTAATATTGTAATGAGTGTTCTAAAATTAGAATAGTTACTGTATTTATGTTTGGTGTATTCTCTCTCTCTCTCTCTCTCTCTCTCTCTCTCTCTCTCTCTCTCTCTCTCTTGTCATATGTTTGTAACTATTATTTTTTAAGTTTTCAAATAAAGTATATAACTAATAACAAATAACATTGAAAGTAAAATTAATCCTTCTCATTGATAATCAACGGCAATGGCTGATTTCAACAATTCGCGTGCTCGAATATAAGTGCCGACTAGCTCAGTCGGTAAAGCACAGAATCAATAATATTCAGGTCCGGGATCGAAGCGTTGACAACAGTAAGACTGACTTTAATTTTCCCTTTCATAAACAAGATGCCCAAGGGCCACATCGCTCACCTGGGCACATCTACTAGGAAAAAGCAGATATCAGATCAAAACTGAAAGTTTACTGGGGGAGGGGGGGGGCTGAATTTTAACCCTCCTGGATGTCATGATTTGAACAATGTAGAATCTACATTACCTGAGGATGATTGCATATAAATAGAAAAATATCACTAATCATGGCTTTGAAGTACTTGAAAAGAAGATTTTAAAAGGTTTCCCTATATATCCTTATGTACAACTTTGGTCAGCAATTTTGGGCCCAAAACTAGCCCCAGAGGTCATGATTTGAACAAGCTTGAATCTTCACTAACTGAGGATGATTCCACATAAGTTTCGTCTTTCCTGGCATAGTGGTTCTTGAGAAGAAGATTTTTAAAGATTTTTTCTATATATTCCTATGTAAAACTTTGGTCAGCCATTTTGGCCCCACCCTAACCCCAGGGGTCATGATTTGAACAGACTTGAATCTACACTACCTGAGGATGATTCCACATGAGTTTCATCTTTCCTGGCCCAGTGGTTCGTAAGAAGAAGAAGAAGATTTTAAAAGATTTTTTCTATGTATTTCTATGTAACTTTGGTCAGCCATTTTGGCCCCATCCTAGCCCCGGGGGTCATGATTTGAACAAACCTGAATCGACACTATCTGAGGATGATTCCACATGAGATTCATTTTTCCTATTCCAGTGGTTCTTGAGAAGATTTTTAAAAGATTTTTCCTTTTTATTCCTATGTAAAATTTTGGTCGGCCATTTTGGCCCCACCCTAGCCCCGGGGGTCCTGATTTGAACAAACTTGAATCTACACTACCTGAGGATGATACCACATGAGTTTCATCTTTCCTGGCCCAGTGGTTCTTAAGTAGAAGATTTTTAAAGATTTTTCCTATATATTCCTATGTAAAACTTTGGTCGGCCATTTTGGCCCCACCCTAGCCCCGGGGGTCATGATTTGAACAAACTTGAATCTACACTACCTGAGGATGATTCGACATGAGTTTCATCTTTCCTGGCCCAGTGGTTCTTGAGAAGAAGATTTTTTACAATTTTTCCTATATATTCCTATGTAAAACTTTGGTCGGCCATTTTGGCCCCACCCTAGCCCCGGGGGTCATGATTTGACAAACTTGAATCTACACTACCTGAGGATGATTCCACGTGAGTTTCATCTTTCCTGGCCCAGTGGTTCTTGAGAAGAAGATTTTTAAAGATTTTTCCTATATATTCCTATGTAAAACTTTGGTCGGCCATTTTGGCCCCACCCTAGCCCCGGGGGTCATGATTTGAACAAACTTAAATCTACACTACCTGAGGATGATTCCACATGAGTTTCATCTTTCCTGGCCCAGTGGTTCTTGAGAAGAAGATTTTTTAAAAATGCTATTAATTTTTCACTAATTCATAATTATCTCCCGGTGGAAGAGGGCGTGGCCCTTCATTTGAACAATCTTGAATCCCCTTCACCCAAGGATACTTTGTGCCAAGTTTGGTTGAAATTGGCCCAGTGGTTCTTGAGAAGAAGATGAAAATGTGAAAAGTTTACGACAACGACAACGACAGACGACGGACAAATTTTGATCAAAAAAGCTCACTTGAGCCTTCGGCTCAGGTGAGCTAAAAAGGGAATGAAAAACATCACAATTACTTAAGTTTTTATAGCTTCTTTTATAATTATTACTTTTCCCCATAAATGAGCATGCTGAGGATGGTATGATTTCATTTTTATTTACTGGATCTTACTTTGGATGTTCATGTTAAGCAATGGTTCAAAATATAATAAATAGATCTCTTTTTTCTTGTAGACTACGAACATGTAGAGACATATAATGCACTCAAAAAAATATAAAGATAGTAAAATGAAACGCTTTTGAGATAAATATAAGAATAATCTTATAGATATTTAAGAGAAAAAAGAATAACCCGTGGCTCGATGGGAATGGATTGAAACAGATATGGACAATCAAAATCGCCCAGCAGAATGCGTGTTTCCTTACACGTCACGTGATGGAATTTTAGTATTCACAGAGTTACCTGGGTATAGAAATCACGTGGTTAATTATAATATTCAACAGGTAACAACGTGGTCAAAATGTTCTGTTTAGTATAGAAAAAGTGAACACACGAAGAAACAGTTTTTTCTCTTTTTAACCATCAGCGCATGTTTGTCTATTGATCTCCTTTTAATATGAGGTAATATATATAAATATACAACTACCATAAAAAGGAGAACAATAAACAAACATCCGCTGACTATGTATTAAGCCTGTGAAAAGGTGGGCGTACTCATTATCCTATGGAGATTCCAGAATATGCGATGACCCCTCCCAATAAAAACGACTTCGAACTTCGTTGATATGAACTTTTAATTAACGTAATTACACAAAGTTGCAGTTAAGACATTGACTATTTCTGCCATTAAAAGAAAAATGCCCATTTTTAAAATTAATTATGTCGCAATTTCTAAGTTTCCTTAAGTGCAGTCATCCTTTAAGCCCTTTTGATCAATAAGACCAAAATAAAGTTTAAAACTGTTTCAGAAGAAATATTTCTGTAAATTGAATATACAGTATTATAGAAGAAATCATTATTGTACAGGACGACGTTAATGCAATTTTGCTTCAATCAAAGCTATAAAAAGTTCTTCCATCGTATAAATGAACGACAGAAGTTTATAAATGTTTTATTTTTCTGTCAATTACAAATTTGCAACAAAATTTTCCGATGTCAAACATGCAGCTCAATTTATAACTTTAAGTACGTACAGTAAAATATTTCAGAGAGAAAGAATTTTCAAGGTGCAGAAAGATCAAAATCGCTCACTTTCACATCATACCTAAGAATTGCAAGAAAATTGACCAAGCTATACACATTTTTTCAATGTGTGTTAATATGGTCGATATTAATTCACTTTGAAAACAACTTTTATTTTTTAAAGTGCGTTAACTGAGTTGGTCCCAAATTTAATGCATTTTGAAAATGTTTTCAAAGTGCGTTGTAACAAGCCATTGTTCTAGAAATCTTTGCACTTAACTTGCTTAAAGTGTTGTTCATGCACTGATTAACGGCAATGGGTTCTCTTAAGAAATAAAGGAGAAAGTATTTAGTGGATAAAAATATATTGCATTTAGATAGCATAAATACATACTAAAATGAAAGCTCCCATGTGACCAATACCGGTATATTGGATTCTCTGATTTTTTCACAGAATATGACGAGAGCATGCCTCAACTTACTATTTTCTTACAGGGATCATTCATCATTCTTATTTTTTCTCCAGTACTTTTTAAGAAATCAGTTAATTTTGTTTGCGGCAAATTTGATTATATGCTATGTACCCAAACATGACAATGTTGACTTAATAGAATTGTGATTTAATTAAGCGAAATTTCGCTCTAAGCTCGCATATGTTGAAATTTTCACAAAATTGCACGGTTTGTACTCCATAGTTGATGTAAGTTAGCCTATCCATGTAAAATAATTGTCAAGAAGTGGGTCAGGCCGTCTATACGTCTGTAGATCTTTGTATCAGTATGGAGAGGAACATTAGCTTGTTAAAGTGTTTATCTCATGACATGAGTCTGTTGCCGATATATTGTGAAGATTGTGAGTGTTCTGTTTGTACAAAATGTATCACAGGTTCCCATATGAGACACAGTCTTCTGGACGTGTCTACTTATGTGGTAAGACAAAAGGAGGAATTAATAGCGTCCATAAACGAAGACTGTTCAAAGATAGAAAGAGTCAGGAGTGAGCTGTCACAAATGAAAATTAACACCGAAGAACGGAAAAATCAAGTGATAGAAGAAATCTCAAGAAGGGAGGATGCAATGATAGGGGAAGTCAAAGATATTTCGGCGGATTATAGAAGCATTGTGGGCGAGGCAGCGCTGCAACATACTCAGAAGATCGAGCAAAGTGAAAGCGCTTTACATGACATTTCGAAAATATCCGAATTAAACCCAGAAACAGAAGCGGACTGTATTGCACTATTGCATTGTCGAAGCGAACTACGAAGGGTTGAAAGGGAAATAAAAGATCAGGGTGCAGTGCATATGTCTTTTGAAGCTATGGAGGGGCCTAGTAAAACAAAATTAAAGGAACTATTTGGAACCGTTTCTGTTGAAGTGAACGAGGTGAACCAATCGTCCGATGAGGACAGAACGATCGAGAAAAAGCTGCCAGTTCAAAGCAGAAATGCTGAAGATATTCTCAAAGTCAAAGAGAAAAAACTTAATAAAAACGGTCACCCTATTTGCATTCAGTTCAAAATCTCAGCACCTGGAATTCCTGATTACGTGAATGACTGCACAGGAGTTTTCTTTTCTGATGATAAAGTTTATTTGTATTTAGACAGAAAGTTATTTGTCAAAGAAAAACAGAGAGAAATTTATGAAGTAGTAAAAGATGTCCAGCATTGCACAGACTATGGTATAAAGCATTCATCTGGAAATGGACTTCTTGTTATAACAAAGGATGAGAGTGAATTAGGCCTTCTTCTTCAAAACAGAAAAATTATCTCGATATTTAAAGCTAGTGGAGGAAATGAAAAAATTGTTGATATGGTTGAAAGTGCTAAAACAGGTATCACTGTATTGTCGGTGAAAACAAGCTTCTGGAGAGGATGTTTTGATAGCACAGTATCACTGTGGCAAGTCAATATAACTGGAGAATCAAAGCAATTATCCTCCATAACACTTGACAAACGTGTGTATGTTTCAAAGATATGCATATTAAACGCTACAACACAAATAGTTTTCAACCTGGATGGATGTTTGTCAGCATATAGCCATCAGTTGACCTTCAAGTTCCAATACAGTGGTACCCGCGGCACTAATCCTTCGTCGGTGTTTTCAGCGTCCTCGGTGTGTGTAGACTCGGATGATAACATTTTAGTCTCGGACAGCTCTGATAATACCATCCATATGTTAAGTATTGACGGTAATTTCTTAAAAATCATCATCTGGCCAGAAGATAATGTGAAAGTAAAATGGCTGTCATTGGACAAGGATGGCTGGTTGTGGATAGGGCAAGGCGGCTGTCAAAGACCTAGCGACTTCTGTGTATTTGACTATGAATATCTTAAGAAGACCGAGAGAACAGAAAGGGCGCTCACAGAGAGCGAGGAAAAAGTAGACACACAAGAGTGAAGACTGTTCAAGAGATATACATGTACATTAACTTTAATAAGTGAGACATTATTTACTTTTTCAAGCAACAATTCGTTTATGCAGCCAAATAGCTACAGTGTGTATATAGCTCTCCCACACCTGGAACCATTGGATTATTCGTTTCATCAGCATTTTCAGCTATAGAAAACTATTGTACATCAACATACGTGTTTATTTTGTTCAATAACAATAAGATGTTCTTAATGCGATATCTTTATTTTTTTAAGACATAGAAAATTTGATGAAATTTTTAAAACCTGCATGAACGGAACGTCTAAACCTAAGAAAATTAAGAGCAATACTGACTAAGAATTTGAACTAAAATGGGACTAAAATATAATGGATTAATATTTTACAAATTTTCAGATCAAGATGTTTAGTTTTAGATTTTAATTTCAAATTCATTTAAGCTGAAGTGAGATTGAAAGCGTTTTAGTGAAGGTAAATAACAGCCCAGAAAGTATTTTGACTATGACAATCCAAGAGGTTTTCACTATGGACATGATGGATACAACGGGGAAAACTTGATTGATTGGGTTTTGTGTATATTTATTCCCCAAACGAAGTTGGGGAACATATTGTTTTTACTCTGTTTCTTATTATTATGTTCCCCAAACGAAGTTTGGGAACATATTGTTTTTACTCTGTTTCTTATTATTAAGGTCTTCCGTCTTCACGGAAGACCTTATAGTGATTGTATTGTTTCTTATTATTATTATTATTATTCTTTTTTTGACAAAATTTTGTGCACGCGATTTCTCGAAAACTATTCAGCGGTTTTCAACGAAACTTTCACAAAAAATGCGTCATTACATGAAGTTGTGCAGTCTATAATTTTTTTGGAAAAATTCGCTTCCGGTGCCAAGTTATGGACAAATTTCTGATTTTAAAATGCGATTTTGTCGCGCACTTTTATCGAAAATGGCTAAAGATATGAACTGGAGACTTATTCGAGACGATAGCTCGCAACTTTCTGGTTTGCAGAATCTCCTTTTTGTGCGTCGTCAGTACTTCCGGTCGTTGCGAGATGCGAAGTAGAAAAATCGTATTTTTCTAACTTTTTTGTTTTTCAGTATTTTTCATTTATTTTTGGTATGTTAATAGAAACCCTTCTTATAATGCTTACTATATAATTTGTTTGAATATTGATTAATCTAAACTCTAGATATTAGCATTTGAAAATCTGAAGCGGGTTCAAAATGGCGACTGTCTCTGTCAACGTCGACATTTCGCAATAGTGGTTTACGGAAGCAGCCGAGCGTTTGCTTTAACGACAGTAACATAAGAATAAATGAAATATAAAGGAATACTTTGATTTTCACGTCATAGTTTCGTTGCAGTTCTGTGTCAAACTAATGTCTTCTGTAATTGGTTTTGGCTGGTTTTCAAAGTAGAAAAAGAAAAGACTAAATGTGCAAATGAAATTCGATACCTAATATCTTTTGTGCTTCACGGAAAAACAGATCTTAAATCATACTTATAAGTAATACTTTCTCAAAAAAGAATATCAATTAATATTGTCAGTATAAATCTTAACCACTGTTTTTCCTATGCACACTTGTGTCATATTAAATTAATAAATAAGACAAAAATAAGAAAACGATTTTTTAAAAGATCGCTTCATAGAGTTTATTTCAGCATTCTTGTCTCAAAGACTTGATTCAAGTTATTGAGCATAAATGATATTTGATTCCTTGATCATCGAAGGGCGAGCCATGTTTCTCGGCGAAACATTCAACCTTTTTCGATTAACTAATCGGGATAGTTCACTTTGGGGATAAACAGAAAATTGAAAAAAAATCATTCATAACCGTTGCACTACTTTAGTGTTACATGCATATATACAATATGGAATTTGTAAAATGTGTTAAATATACTTTCTAAACCTCGAATCTTAGGCTATAAGAACGTTCATTTTTTAATTTCATTGGAGCTATTTTAAGAGAGAAGCACTGTTTCGTAAATATATACAAGTAGATTTAGAGTAGAGGTCCCGATAGCGTAATATTTAGTGCGTTGGAATTTCATGCTGGCGACTTGGGTTCAATCCCCCTTGTGTGCAAAACTTTTTTTTACCTTTTCAGCTCGATTTTACGTTTTCTTTCCGGAATCGGACGGAAGACCTCTCGTTGCTCGCAACGAGTTTCTCATCTAGTTATTATTATGTTCCCCAAACGGAGTTTGGGAACATATTGTTTTTACTCGGTTTCTTATTATGTTCCCCAAACGAAGTTTGGGAACATATTGTTTTTACTCTGTTTCTTATTATTATGTTCCCCAAACGAAGTTGGGGAACATATTGTTTTTACTCTGTTTCTTATTATTATGTTCCCCAAACGAAGTTGGGGAACATATTGTTTTTACTCTGTTTCTTATTATTATTATTATTATTTTTCTTCTTCCTGGGAAAATTTTGTCCACGAGTGATCTTGTAAACAACACATCTGACTTAGGTGAAACCTTTTTAGGGTCAGTAGGCATGTTATGTAGAGTTGCCAAACGAAGGTCATTTTGCACGCACGTGCTTGCAAGAGCGCGCACGTGCAACACGTGAAATGACCAATATAATGGATATTGCCGTAACTTTTCTATTTTTTGATGAATTTTTTTGAAACTTATAATGTAAGGATATATTAGTAGTATAGACAAGATGACATGGTCAAAACAGCAAGATCTCACGCGCATGCACGTGCGCTTCGCTCTGATTGGCTGAAACTAAAGTCTCAATATCTTTCTTGTTTTAAGTCATAATCCTTTGAAATTTTGAACTTAGTCACACATTATAAAGGTCTACAGCCTGATATATAAGAATTTTCATGAAAGCACGTACATGCACATGTGCTGGAAAGAGCGCGCACGTGCAACATGTGAAATAACCAATATTATTGATGATGCCATAACATTTCTATTTCTTGATGAATTTTTTTGAAACTCATAATGTAAGGATACATTAGTAGTATAGACAAGATGACATGGTCAAAATAGCAAGATCTCACGCACATCTACGTGCGCTTCGCTCTGATTGGCTGAAACTAAAGTCTCAATATCTTTCTTGTTTTTTGTCATAATCTTTTGAAATTTTGAACATAGTCCTACATATTGAAGATCTACAGCCTGATAAATAAAAATTTTCATGAAAGCATGCGCATGCGCGCGTGCTGCAATCCGATTGGCTGAAACTTTAAATGGCTATATCTCCCTTGATTTTTGACGAAATGCTTTGAAATCTAAAGCATAGACATGCATTAGGATATCCTACAATATGATATAGAAAAAATTCATGAAATCACACGCATGCACGTGTGCTGCAATCTGATTGGCTGAAACTTGAAATGGCTATAACTCCCATGTTTTTCAACCAAACAGGATGAGATTTAGAACATAGATAGATATAAGGGACTCCTAAAAGAAGGTATGGCCATTATGCACGTGCACGCACGTGCATGCATTTGGAACTAAAAATACACTTGAATGAGTAATTTTTAATACCTTCGGACTGAATGCTTTAATATATAGTATATTAGAATATATAGATAGTGTAGACAAGATGATATGGTCATAACACACATGCATTCACATGCGCACGGGTGCAATGTTACAGTTTGAATGTAATTGGTATCCTTTGGTAATTGGTATCCTTCTCGGTAAACGTTGTAAAAGTCAAAAATGCACAAAGTTTGTCTTATTTAATGAAACTTACAGGGAATATAGCACAAAATGAAGTTGGGGAGCGTTTGGGGAACATCTGTAACGGTTCTCGTTACAATTAGCACTAGTTCTTATTCTTATTATTATTTTTCTTCCTGGGAAAATTTTGTCCGCGAGTGATCTTGTAAACTACACATCCAACTTAGGTGAAACCTTTTTAGGGTAAGTAGGCATGTTATGTAGATTTGCGGAATCAAGGTCATTTTGCGCGCACGTGCTTGCAAGAGCGCGCACGTGCAAAACTTAAAATGACCAATATATAATGGATATAACCGTAACTTCTCTATTTTGTGACGAAATGTTTTGAAACTTATAATGTAAGGATATATTAGTAGTATGCACAAGATGACAAAGTCGAAATAGCAAGATCGCACGCGCAGGCACGTGTGCTTCGCTCTGATTGGCTGAAACTAAAGTCTCAATATCTTTTTTGTTTTTTGATAAAATCATTTGAAATTTTGAACATAGTCATACATTAGGGAGATCTAAAGCCTGTAATATAAGATTTTTCATGAAAGCATGTGCATGCACATGTGCTTGCAAGAGCTCGCACGTGCAACACGAGAAATGTCCAATATAATTGATACAGACGTAACTATTAAAATTATTGATGAAATGCTTTGAAACTCATTTTATAAGTATATATTAGTAGTATGCACAAGATGACATGGTCAAAATAGCAAGATCGCAATCGCATGCACGTGTGCTTCGCTCTGATTGGCTGAAACTAAAGTCTCAATATCTTTCTTGTTTCTTGTCATTATCCTTTGAAATTTTGAACATAGACCTACATTATGAAGATCTACAGCATGATATATAAGAATTTTCATGAAAGCATGCGCATGCCCGCGTGCTGAAATCTGATTGGCTGAAACTTTAAATGGCTATATCTACTTTGTTTTTTGACGAAATGCTTTGAATTTTAAAACATTGTCATGCATTAGGACATCCTACAATATGATATAGAAAAAAATCATGAAATCACGCGCATGCACGTGTGCTGCAATCTGATTGGCTTAAACTTGATATGGCTATAACTCCCTTGTTTTTCAACCAAACAGGATGGGATTTAGAATATAGATAGATGTAAGGGACTCCTACAAGAAGGTATGGTCATCATGCACGTGCACGCACGTGCGTGCATTTGGAACGAGTGAAATGAAAAATACACTTGAAAGAGTGATTTTTCATACTTTTGGACTGAATGCTTTAATATATTGTATATTAAAATATGTAGATAGTGTAGACAAGATGATATGATCATAACGGAC